GACTGACTGACTGTGTGACTGACTGTGTGACTGACTGTGTGACTGTGTGACTGACTGACTGTGTGACTGACTGACTGTGTGACTGACTGTGTGACTGACTGTGTGACTGTGTGACTGACTGTGCCAGGCTCACCCTGGGCAAGCGACTTGGTGAAGGCTGCTTTGGCCAGGTGATGATGGCCGAGGCACTGACTGTGTGACTGACTGACTGACTGTGTGACTGACTGACTGTGTGACTGACTTACTGACTGTATGAATGATTGTGTGACTGACTGACTGACTGTGTGACTGACTGACTGTGTGACTGACTGACTGTGTGACTGACTGACTGACTGACTGTGTGACTGACTGTGTGACTGTGTGACTGATTGACTGTGTGACTGACTGACTGTGTGACTGACTCTGTGACTGACTGTGTGACTGGCTGTGTGACTGACTGACTGTGTGACTGACTGACTGTGTGACTGACTGACTGTGTGACTGACTGACTGTGTGACTGTCTGACTGTGTGACTGACTGACTGTGTGACTGTCTGACTGTGTGACTGACTGACTGACTGTGTGACTGACTGTGTGACTGACTGACTGTGTGACTGACTGTGTGACTGACTGTGTGACTGTGTGACTGACTGTGCCAGGCTCACCCTGGGCAAGCGACTTGGTGAAGGCTGCTTTGGCCAGGTGATGATGGCCGAGGCACTGACTGTGTGACTGACTGACTGACTGTGTGACTGACTGACTGTGTGACTGACTTACTGACTGTATGAATGATTGTGTGACTGACTGACTGACTGTGTGACTGACTGATTGTGTGACTGACTGTGTGACTGACTGACTGACTGTGTGACTGACTGACTGACTGTGTGACTGACTGTGTGACTGTGTGACTGACTGACTGTGTGACTGACTCTGTGACTGACTGTGTGACTGGCTGTGTGACTGACTGACTGTGTGACTGACTGACTGTGTGACTGTGTGACTGTGTGACTGTGTGACTGACTGACTGTGTGACTGACTGACTGTGTGACTGACTGACTGACTGTGTGACTGACTTTGTGACTGACTGACTGTGTGACTGACTGTGTGACTGACTGTGTGACTGACTGTGTGACTGTGTGACTGACTGTGCCAGGCTCACCCTGGGCAAGCGACTTGGTGAAGGCTGCTTTGGCCAGGTGATGATGGCCGAGGCACTGACTGTGTGACTGACTGACTGTGTGACTGACTGACTGTGTGACTGACTGACTGACTGTGTGACTGACTGTGTGACTGTGCCAGGCTCACCCTGGGCAAGCGACTTGGTGAAGGCTGCTTTGGCCAGGTGATGATGGCTGAGGCACTGACTGTGTGACTGACTGACTGTGTGACTGACTGACTGACTGTGTGACTGTGCCAGGCTCACCCTGGGCAAGCGACTTGGTGAAGGCTGCTTTGGCCAGGTGATGATGGCCGAGGCACTGACTGACTGACTGTGTGACTGACTGACTGACTGTGTGACTGACTGACTGACTGACTGTGTGACTGACTGTGTGACTGTGCCAGGCTCACCCTGGGCAAGCGACTTGGTGAAGGCTGCTTTGGCCAGGTGATGATGGCTGAGGCACTGACTGTGTGACTGACTGACTGTGTGACTGTGTGACTGACTGACTGACTGTGTGACTGACTGTGTGACTGTGTGACTGACTGACTGTGTGACTGACTGTGTGACTGACTGACTGTGTGACTGTGTGACTGACTGACTGACTGTGTGACTGACTGACTGTGTGACTGACTGACTGTGTGACTGACTGTCTGACTGTGTGACTGTCTGACTGACTGTGTGACTGACTGTGTGACTGTGCCAGGCTCACCCTGGGCAAGCGACTTGGTGAAGGCTGCTTTGGCCAGGTGATGATGGCCGAGGCACTGACTGTGTGACTGACTGTGTGACTGTGTGACTGACTGACTGACTGTGTGACTGTGTGACTGACTGACTGACTGTGTGACTGACTGACTGACTGTGTGACTGACTGACTGTGTGACTGACTGTGCCAGGCTCACCCTGGGCAAGCGACTTGGTGAAGGCTGCTTTGGCCAGGTGATGATGGCCGAGGCACTGACTGTGTGACTGACTGACTGACTGTGTGACTGACTGACTGTGTGACTGACTGACTGTGTGACTGACTGACTGTGTGACTGTGTGACTGACTGTGTGACTGACTGACTGACTGGCTGTGTGACTGACTGACTGTGTGACTGACTGTGCCAGGCTCACCCTGGGCAAGCGACTTGGTGAAGGCTGCTTTGGCCAGGTGATGATGGCCGAGGCACTGACTGTGTGACTGACTGACTGTGTGACTGACTGACTGTGTGACTGACTGACTGACTGTGTGACTGACTGTGTGACTGTGCCAGGCTCACCCTGGGCAAGCGACTTGGTGAAGGCTGCTTTGGCCAGGTGATGATGGCTGAGGCACTGACTGTGTGACTGACTGACTGTGTGACTGTGTGACTGACTGACTGACTGTGTGACTGACTGTGTGACTGTGTGACTGACTGACTGTGTGACTGACTGTGTGACTGACTGACTGTGTGACTGTGTGACTGACTGACTGACTGTGTGACTGACTGACTGTGTGACTGACTGACTGTGTGACTGACTGTCTGACTGTGTGACTGTCTGACTGACTGTGTGACTGACTGTGTGACTGTGCCAGGCTCACCCTGGGCAAGCGACTTGGTGAAGGCTGCTTTGGCCAGGTGATGATGGCCGAGGCACTGACTGTGTGACTGACTGTGTGACTGTGTGACTGACTGACTGACTGTGTGACTGTGTGACTGACTGACTGACTGTGTGACTGACTGACTGACTGTGTGACTGACTGACTGTGTGACTGACTGTGCCAGGCTCACCCTGGGCAAGCGACTTGGTGAAGGCTGCTTTGGCCAGGTGATGATGGCCGAGGCACTGACTGTGTGACTGACTGACTGACTGTGTGACTGACTGACTGTGTGACTGACTGTGTGACTGACTGACTGTGTGACTGACTGACTGACTGACTGTGTGACTGACTGACTGTGTGACTGACTGTGCCAGGCTCACCCTGGGCAAGCGACTTGGTGAAGGCTGCTTTGGCCAGGTGATGATGGCCGAGGCACTGGGCATAGACCAAGATGGCCGCTGCCACAGCACCACCGTCGCTGCGAAGATGCTCAAGGGTGAGGCGATGACGAGGTGGTGACGAGGTGGTGACGAGGTGGTGACGAGGTGGTGATGACGAGGTGGTGACGAGGTGGTGACGAGGTGACGAGGTCGTAATGAGGTGATGACGAGGTGGTGAGGAGGTGATGACGAGGTGGTGAGGAGGTGATGACGAGGTGGTGAGGAGGTGGTGACGAGGTGGTGAGGATGTAGTGACGACGTGACGAGGTCGTAATGAGGTGATGACGAGGTGGTGAGGAGGTGGTGACGAGGTGGTGATGAGGTGGTGACGAGGTGGTGACGAGGTGGTGACGAGGTAGTGACGAGGTGATGACGAGGTGGTGATGACGAGGTGGTGATGACAAGGTGGTGACGAGGTGGTGACGAGGTGATGATGACGAGGTAGTGACGAGGTGGTGACGAGGTGGTGAGGTGATGACGTGGTGGTGACGAGGTGGTGACGAGGTGGTGACGAGGTGATGACGAGGTGGTGACGAGGTGATGATGACGAGGTGGTGACGAAGTGGTGATGACGAGGTGATGATGATGAGTTGATGACGAGGTGATGACGAGGAGGTGACGAGGTGATGATGACGAGGTGGTGACGAAGTGGTGATGACGAGGTGATGATGATGAGTTGATGACGAGGTGGTGACGAGGTGGTGACGAGGTGGTGACGAGGTGGTGACGAGGTGGTGATGACGAGGTGATGATGATGAGGTGGTGACGAGGTGATGACGAGGTGGTGACGAGGTGGTGATGACGAGGTGGTGACGAGGTGGTGATGACGAGGTGGTGATGACGAGGTGATGATGACGAGTTGACGAGGTGATGATGACGAGGTGATGATGACGAGGTGATGATGACGAGGTGATGATGACGAGGTGGTGACGAGGTGGTGACGAGGTGGTGACGAGGTGGTGATGACGAGGTGGTGACGAGGTGGTGGTGACGAGGTGATGGTGACGAGGTGGTTACGAGGTGGTGAGGTGGTGACGAGGTGGTGACGAGGTGGTGACGAGGTGATGATGACGAGGTGGTGACGAGGTGATGAGGTAATGACGAGGTGATGGTGACGAGGTAGTGACGAGGTGATGATGACGAGTTGATGACGAGGTGGTGACGAGGTGATGACGAGGTGATGGTGACGAGGTAGTGACGAGGTGATGATGACGAGTTGATGACGAGGTGGTGACGAGGTGGTGACGAGGTGATGATGACGAGATGATGACGAGTTGGTGACGAGTTGGTGACGAGGTGATGACGAGGTGATGACGAGGTGGTGACGAGGTGGTGACGAGGTGGTGACGAGTTGATGACGAGGTGGTGACGAGGTGATGATGACGAGTTGATGACGAGGTGGTGACGAGATAGTGACGAGGTGATGACGGGGTGATGAGGTGGTGACGAGGTGATGACGAGGTGGTGAGGTGGTGACGAGGTGGTGACGAGGTGATGACGAGGTGGTGACGAGGTGGTGACGAGGTGATGAGGTGGTGATGAGGTGGTGACGAGGTGGTGAGGTGGTGACGAGGTGGTGACGAGGTGGTGACGAGGTGGTGAGGTGATGACGAGGTGGTGACGAGATGATGACGAGGTGGTGACGAGGTGGTGACGAGGTGGTGACGAGGTGATGAGGTGGTGACGAGGTGGTGACGAGGTGGTGACGAGGTGACGAGGTGATGACGAGGCGGTGATGAGGTGATGACGAGTTGATGACGAGGGAGTGACGAGGTGGTGACGAGGTGGTGACGAGGTGATGACGAGGTGGTGACGAGGTGATGACGAGGTGGTGACGAGGTGATGACGAGGTGGTGACGAGGTGGTGACGAGGTGGTGACGAGGTGGTGACGAGGTGGTGGTGACGAGGTGGTGGTGACGAGGTGGTGACGAGGTGATGACGAGGTGATGACGAGGTGATGACGAGGTGACGAGGTGGTGACGAGGTGGTGACGAGGTGGTGACGAGGTGGTGGTGACGAGATGATGACGAGGTGGTGATGACGAGGTGATGATGACGAGGTGATGACGAGGTGATGACGAGGTGGTGACGAGGTGGTGACGAGGTGGTGACGAGGTGACGAGGTGGTGACGAGGTGGTGATGAGGTGGTGACGAGGTGATGACGAGGTGGTGGTGACGAGGTGGTGACGAGGTGGTGACGAGGTGCCTCCCCCAGACGACGCCACAGATAAGGAGCTCTCCGACCTCGTCGCTGAGATGGAGATGATGAAGACCATCGGCAAACACAAAAACATCCTCAACCTGCTGGGAGCGTGCACACAGGGCGGTGAGTCCACCTCGTCACCACCTCGTCACCACCTCGTCACCACCTCATCATCATCACCTCATCATCACCTCGTCGTCACCACCTCGTCACCACCTCGTCACCACCTCGTCACCGTCATCGTCGTCACCACCTCGTCACCACCTCGTCACCACCTCGTCACCACCTCGTCACCGTCATCATCGTCGTCACCATCATCATTACATCACCGTCATCATGACATCACCATCGTCATCGTCATCATCGTCATCGTCGTCATCATAACATCATCACCGTCATCATCGTCATCATTACATCACCGTCATCGTCATCATAACATCATCATCATCATTATTACATCATCGTCATCATAACATCATCATCGTCATCATCATCATTACATCATCATCATCATAACATCATCATCGTCATCAGCATCATTATATCATCATTACATCATCGTCATCGATACATCGTCATCACATCACAACCACCACCTTATCAACATCATCAGCATCACTCAGAGGCTACCTGGGGGAGCTTTGTCTGTGTCTCAGCACTTGCCCCTACAGCCCTGCTAGAGGCTACCTGGGGGAGCTTTGTCTGTGTCTCAGCACTTGCCCCTACAGCCCTGCTAGAGGCTACCTGGGGGAGCTTTGTCTGTGTCTCAGCACTTGCCCCTACAGCCCTGCTAGAGGCTACCTGGGGGAGCTTTGTCTGTGTCTCAGCACTTGCCCCTACAGCCCTGCTAGAGGCTACCTGGGGGAGCTTTGTCTGTGTCTCAGCACTTGCCCCTACAGCCCTGCTAGAGGCTACCTGGGGGAGCTTTGTCTGTGTCTCAGCACTTGCCCCCTACAGCCCTGCTAGAGGCTACCTGGGGGAGCTTTGTCTGTGTCTCAGCACTTGCCCCTACAGCCCTGCTGGAGGCTACCTGGGGGAGCTTTGCCTCTAGCTGTGTCTCAGCACTTGCCCCCTACAGCCCTGCTGGAGGCTACCTGGGGGAGCTTTGCCTCTAGCTGTGTCTCAGCACTTGCCCCTACAGCCCTGCTAGAGGCTACCTGGGGGAGCTTTGTCTGTGTCTCAGCACTTGCCCCTACAGCCCTGCTAGAGGCTACCTGGGGGAGCTTTGTCTGTGTCTCAGCACTTGCCCCTACAGCCCTGCTAGAGGCTACCTGGGGGAGCTTTGTCTGTGTCTCAGCACTTGCCCCTACAGCCCTGCTAGAGGCTACCTGGGGGAGCTTTGTCTGTGTCTCAGCACTTGCCCCTACAGCCCTGCTAGAGGCTACCTGGGGGAGCTTTGTCTGTGTCTCAGCACTTGCCCCTACAGCCCTGCTAGAGGCTACCTGGGGGAGCTTTGTCTGTGTCTCAGCACTTGCCCCTACAGCCCTGCTAGAGGCTACCTGGGGGAGCTTTGCCTCTAGCTGTGTGCGTGTGCTCAGGGCCGCTCCTGGTGCTGGTGGAGTTTGCCTCCAAGGGGAATCTCCGAGAGTTCCTCAGAGCGCGGAGACCACCAGGTAGGTGCCACCCACTACACGTGCCACCCACTACACGTGCCACCCACCACACATGGCACCCACTACACGTGCCACTCGCTGCACGTACCACCCACTACACGTGCCACCCACTACACGTGCCACCCACTACACGTGCCACCCTCTACACGTGCCACCCACTACACGTGCCACCCGCTACACGTGCCACCCACTAGCCGTGCCACCCACTACACGTGCCACCCACTACACGTGCCACCCACTAGCCGTGCCACCCACTACACGTGCCACCCACTACACGTGCCACCAACTACACGTGCCACCCACTACACGTGCCACCCACTACCCGTGCCACCCACTACACGTACGCCACCCACTACACGTAGCATTACTACACGTGCCACCCACTACACGTGCACCCACTACACGTGCCACCCACTACACGTGCCACCCACTACACGTGCCACTCACTACACGTGCCACCCACTACACGTGCCAACCACTACACGAGCCAACCACTACACGTACCACCAACTTTACGTGCCACCCACTACATGTGCCACCCACTACACGTGCCATCCACTACACGTACCACTACTACACGTACCACCCACTACACGTACCACCCACTACACGTACCACACCACCAGGTAGGTCCCACTACGCATTCCACCCACACTACACTTACCACCACTACATGTACCACCCACTACACGTACCACCACTACACGTACCACCACTACACGTACCACCAGGTAGGTCCCACTACACGTACCACCTACACCACTACCCATACCACCCATACCAGCAGGTAGGTGCCACTACTACACGTACCACCCACTACACGTACCACCCACTACACGTACCACCCACTACACGTACCACCAGGTAGGTCCCACTACTACACGTACCACCCACTACACGTACCACCCACTACACGTACCACCCACACCACTACCCATGCCACCAGGTAGGTCCCGCTACAGTCACTACACCTACCATCCACACCACCAATACCACTACCCATACCACTACCCATACCACCCACACCACCCACACCACCACCACCCACACCACCCACACCACCCATACCACTACCCATACCACTACCCATACCACCCACACCACCACCCACACCAACACCCACACCACCCACACCACCACCCACACCACCCATACCACCCACCCACACCACCCACACCACCCACCCCACCACCACCCACCCACACCACCCACACCACCACCCACCACACCACCACCCACACCACCCATACCACAACCCACCCACACCACCACCACCCATCCACCACCCACACCACCACCACCCACACCACCCACACCACCCATACCACCCACTTGCTGTTCGCAAACAGCACTTGCCCCCTACAGCCCCCCTGTTAGAGGCTACCTGGGGGAGCTTTGTCTTTGTACTCAGCACTTGCCCCCTACAGCCCCCCTGCTAGAGGCTACCTGGGGGAGCTTTGTCTTTGTACTCAGCACTTGCCCCCTACAGCCCTGCTAGAGGCTACCTGGGGGAGCTTTGTCTGTGTCTCAGCACTTGCCCCCTACAGCCCTGCCAGAGGCTACCTGGGGGAGCTTTGTCTTTGTCCTCAGCACTTGCCCCTACAGCCCTGCTAGAGGCTACCTGGGGGAGCTTTGTCTGTGTCTCAGCACTTGCCCTTACAGTCCTGCTAGAGGCTACCTGGGGGAGCTTTGTCTCTGTACTCAGCACTTGCCCCCTACAGCCCCCCCCAGCTAGAGGCTACCTGGGGGAGCTTTGTCTGTGTCTCAACACTTGCCCCTACAGCCCTGCTAGAGGCTACCTGGGGGAGCTTTGTCTGTGTATCAGCACTTGCCCCTACAGCCCTGCTAGAGGCTACCTGGGGGAGCTTTGTCTGTGTACTCAACACTTGCCCCCTACAGCCCCCCCTTGCTAGAGGCTACCTGGGGGAGCTTTGTCTGTGTACTCAACACTTGCCCCCTACAGCCCTGCTAGAGGCTACCTGGGGGAGCTTTGTCTTTGTACTCATCACTTGCCCCTACAGCCCTCCTGCTAGAGGCTACCTGGGGGAGCTTTGTCTTTGTACTCAGCACTTGCCCCCTACAGCCCTGCTAGAGGCTACCTGGGGGAGCTTTGTCTCTGTCTCAGCACTTGCCCCTACAGCCCTGCTAGCGGCTACCTGGGGGAGCTTTGTCTTTGTACTCAGCACTTGCCCCCTACAGCCCTGCTAGAGGCTACCTGGGGGAGCTTTGTCTGTGTCTCAGCACTTGCCCCTACGGCCCTGCCAGAGGCTACCTGGGGGAGCTTTGTCTGTGTCTCAGCACTTGCCCCTACAGCCCTGCTAGAGGCTACCTGGGGGAGCTTTGTCTCTGTACTCAGCACTTGCCCCTACAGCCCTGCTAGAGGCTACCTGGGGGAGCTTTGTCTCTGTACTCAGCACTTGCCCCTACAGCCCTGCCAGAGGCTACCTGGGGGAGCTTTGTCTGTGTCTCAGCCCTTGCCCCCCCTACGCGCATGCCGCAGGCATGGACTACACCTGCGGCGAGGTGACACGGGTGCCGGACGAGCAGCTCACATTCAAGGACCTCGTGTCCTGTGCCTACCAAGTAGCCAGGGGCATGGAGTACCTTGCTTCTAACAAGGTGAGGATACACACTCGCCACCAAACAACCACCACCACACTCACCACCACGCTCACCACTACACTCGCCACCAAACAACAACCACCACCACACTCACCACCACGCTCACCACTACACTCGCCACCACGCTCACCACTACACTCACCACCACGCTCACCACCACGCTCACCACTACACTCGCCACCAAACAACAACCACCACCACACTCACCACCACACTCACCACCACGCTCACCACTACACTCGCCACCAAACAACCACCACCACGCTCACCACCATGCTCACCACCACGCTCACCACCACGCTCACCACTACACTCGCCACCAAACAACAACCACCACCACACTCACCACCACACTCACCACTACACTCGCCACCAAACAACAACCACTACACTCGCCACCAAACAACCACCACCACACTCACCACCATGCTCACCACCACGCTCACCACTACACTCGCCACCAAACAACAACCACCACCACCACCACACTCACCACCACGCTCACCACTACACTCGCCACCAAACAACAACCACCACCACACTCACCACCACACTCACCACCACGCTCACCACCACGCTCACCACCACGCTCACCACTACACTCGCCACCAAACAACAACCACCACCACACTCACCACCACACTCACCACTACACTCGCCACCAAACAACAACCACTACACTCGCCACCAAACAACCACCACCACACTCACCACCATGCTCACCACCACGCTCACCACTACACTCGCCACCAAACAACAACCACCACCACACTCACCACCACACTCACCACCACGCTCACCACCACGCTCACCACCACGCTCGCCACTACACTCGCCACCAAACAACCACCACCACACTCACCACCACACTCACCACCACGCTCACCACCACGCTCACCACTACACTCGCCACCAAACAACCACCACCACACTCACCACCACACTCACCACCACGCTCACCACCACGCTCACCACTACACTCGCCACCAAACAACAACCACCACCACACTCACCACCACGCTCACCACCACGCTCACCACTACACTCGCCACCAAACAACAACCACCACCACCACCACACTCACCACCACGCTCACCACCATGCTCACCACTACACTCGCCACCAAACAACCACCACCACCACACTCACCACCACACTCACCACCACGCTCACCACCACGCTCACCACTACACTCGCCACCAAACAACAACCACCACCACACTCACCACCACACTCACCACCACGCTCACCACCACGCTCACCACTACACTCGCCACCAAACAACCACCACCACCACCACCACCACCCCGCTCCTACGTGCGTAGTTGGGCCAAGGGCTGTGAGCAGCGAGCAAACCCGGCAGGCTGTTGAGGCAAGGGCTGTGAGCAGCGAGCAAACCCCAACAGCCTCCGGCAGGCTGTTGGGGCAAGTGCTGTGAGCAGCGAGCAAACCCCAACAACGTCTAGCAGGCTGTTGGGGCAAGGGCTGTGAGCAGCGAGCAAACCCCAACAGCCTCTAGCAGGCTGTTGGGGCAAGTGCTGTGAGTAGCGAGCAAACCCCAACAAGCTCGGGCAGGCCACTAGGGCAAGTGCTGTGAGCAGCGAGCAAACCCCAACAACGTCTAGCAGGCTGTTGGGGCAAGGGCTGTGAGCAGCGAGCAGCACCAAACAAGCTCCGGCAGACTGTTGGGGCGAGGGCTGTGAGCAGCGAGCAAACCCGGCAGGCTGTTGAGGCAAGTGCTGTGAGTAGCGAGCGGTCTCCAACAGCCTCCGGCAGGCTGTTGGGGCAAGTGCTGTGAGTAGCGAGCGGTCTCCAACAGCCTCCGGCAGGCTGTTGGGGCAAGTGCTGTGAGTAGCGAGCAAACCCCAACAACGTCTAGCAGGCTGTTGGGGCAAGGGCTGTGAGTAGCAAGCAAACCCCAACAACGTCTAGCAGGCTGATGGGGCAAGTGCTGTGAGTAGCGAGCAAACCCCCTCAACAGCCTCCGACAGGCCACTAGGGCAAGGGCTGTGAGTAGCGAGCAAACCCCAACACGCTCCGGCAAGCTGTTGGGGCAAGGGCTGTGAGTAGCGAGCAAACCCGGCAGGCTGTTGGGGCAAGGGCTGTGAGTAGCGAGAAAACTCCCCAACAACCTCCGGCAGGCTGTTGGGGCAAGTGCTGTGAGTAGCGAGCAAACCCCAACAAGCTCCGGTAGGCCGTTGGGGCAAGGGCTGTGAGCAGCGAGCAAACACCAACAGCCTCCGGCAGGCTGTTGGGGCAAGTGCTGTGAGCAGCGAGCAGCCCCCAACAGCCTCCGGCAGACCGTTGGGGCAAGGGCTGTGAGTAGCGAGCAAACCCGGCAGGCTGTTGAGGCAAGTGCTGTGAGTAGCGAGCGGTCCCCAACAGCCTCTAGTAGGCTGTTGGGGCAAGTGCTGTTGGGGCAAGTGCTGTGAGCAGCGAGCAAACCCCAACAACGTCTAGCAGGCTGTTGGGGCAAGGGCTGTGAGCAGCGAGCGGTCCCCAACAGCCTCTAGCAGGCTGTTGAGGCAAGGGCTGTGAGCAGCGAGCAAACCCCAACAATGTCTAGCAGGCTGTTGGGGCAAGTGCTGTTGGGGCAAGTGCTGTGAGCAGCGAGCAAACCCCAACAACGTCTAGCAGGCTGTTGGGGCAAGGGCTGTGAGCAGCGAGGGGTCCCCAACAGCCTCCGGCAGGCTGTTGAGGCAAGGGCTGTGAGTAGCGAGCAAACCCCAACAACGTCTAGCAGGCTGTTGGGGCAAGGGCTGTGAGTAGCGAGCAAACCCGGCAGGCTGTTGAGGCAAGGGCTGTGAGCAGCGAGCAAACCCCAACAACCTCCGGCAGGCTGTTGGGGGCAAGGGCTGTGAGCAGCGAGCAAACCCCAACAACCTCTAGCAGACTGTTGGGGCAAGTGCCGTGAACAGCG